TGCCATTCTGGGAAATGCTCCATGGGTAAAGGAGTAAGGTAGAGCATCACCAACGGGTAGAAAAACAGCTGGGTTTAATGTGTGGTTATGGAGGTCTGGAGAGGGGGGTGAAATTGGCAGCATGGTTGGGTGTGGGAATTTGGCTTGGGACTGTTGGGAATGATGGGGAAAATATGGAAAAATAAGGAATGAGTGTATGGAGTGTTGGATAGTAAGGGAATGAGCATTGGAAGTATCAGTGGGTATGTAGTGTGCGTTGTTGGGTAGAATCCACAGAATCCGACTTTTTGCACTTGTCCCGAGAAGTTGAAACTTGCATATGATCGATGGGAGCAGGTCCCTGAGATGGTAAAGAAGCTGAATGCCAGGTGAGATGACCACCCCCTCCCTACACAGTGGGTGCCAGTTTTCAAAGAATCTACCATCCAGGTGGAAAGAGTCATCACATATTGGAGTTGAACATGCAAGGGCCCTGAGATGTGATATTTGGCAACTGAGAGAGAAGCCTTAGCAGCTAAGGAATCATTAGTCAGGTTCACACTGTTCATCGAAGGTGAGGACCTACTCTTAATCACAGACCATGCAGCACTACAATGGGTGAGGACTTTCGGAAACTACAACCATCACCTAGCAGCATGGGGTCTAGTCTTTGCAGCATTCCTGAAGATGGCCATAGTCCACCATCTGGCCTCACACATTCTAATGTCAACCACTTGTCACGTCTGGCCCAGACCCCAGAAGTGATATCCCTGAATGTGGAAGAGTTACTCAGTCTGGAGACCAGCCTGGCTCAGGAGGACATTATCCAAAGTTGGAGCATGTACCTGCACAAGGTATTGTATCTCAGCTGGTGGCACACCCTGAGTTGGTCTTTAGTGTTTATACAATAGTAGAGACAGTAAAGAACCACTCAGTATCACATGACTATCTATAAAGCGAAGATTGAAAGAAATAACCCACAACACAAAACACAACACGATCACCCCCATCTCCAACCAGGCATCTAACTGCTTATTGATGATCTCTCTCTTAAAAGGGGAAGCATGGTATGGCAGAAGCAAGATGGGTTTCACACCTTCTTTCAGTAATATGTGCACACAGGCATCATATCGTCCCAGGTTCCCAGCCATAGCAAAGGCCTTCTCATGCTTCCACACCATGGTCCAGAGCTGTTCCTTTTCCTTGGGCAATAAATCTGGATTCACGTCTATTACATCCTCCAAGGACTCAGGAAGGACTTCATCTCTGGGTATCATTGTAGGTGGGATAACCTACTATACTCTACACTGCCAGTATTTTTGCAGTTTATGTTCCTTAAGATGCGAAGATCACCTACCAATGTCATATCCATACAATCCCGACCTCCACTCTGGGCTCCCGGAACTCTGAAACTGACTCTGGAGCCTTACTTCCCTTCTGTCACCTTCTCCTTGCCGACTCCCAAGAGGTTATCCCACCTCCGGCTCTGACACCACCTTTGGTCCGACTCTGGAACATCCCAGTTCTGACCTCAACCTCGACACCTTCCAGATGAGCATGCAACACCTATGCTCCCGACTCCGGACCTCCGCTCCGGAATCCCGTTCGCATCTCTGTCTCTGGAACCTCCGGTCTTAGCTCCGACCTCGGACTTTGACCCCACCTCCACTTATACCCATTGTATTGGTTAGCTCATTCCATTTAATTATGTTTGCCAATATTCCGGAGTTTAACTTCCGAGTTCGGACTTTCCGGACTTATGTCGGACCTTGCAACTATTGCATTGCTCCATTCAATTCCGCTATACTCCCTCATTCCTATTTGGGCTGCTGCTTCCTTTCTATTCAGTCAGCTGGCCATTCCCCACTCCCATCCTCCTTCCTTCCTCCTTGGGCCTTGGCCCTTCATTCCTCCTTTGAGAAACACCATTGAGTCAAACCCTTGACCCTCGGTGTTGTTCCTCTTTCCATCTCCCTTTGTCTCCTTTCGTCCTACCCTTGTTCCTTTTGATTCCGGACCCCTCCTTATATACAATGTACATAGTAACTTGTAACCTCAGTCTGAAATCATGCCCCCAAGAGACTTTCCCTCTGCTAGATCCGAAATTAGGGACCCCCAGGACAACCAGCAATGGCACAGCACTCCGCCTGAGTCGCTGAGGCCGAGGTCCTTCCACGGAAAGTCTCCAATTCCACTCTGGAGTCGTCCGAATCCGCCTGTTCTAACAACCAATGCCCACAGAGTATAAAAACAATTTATTTCATTTTATAACAGAGTACAATTGCACATAACATGCTGGTACTGAATTGGTTCAGCCCAAAAACTACGCTTGGCACTACTGGCTGCTGAGAGATGATCAAGGGCTCAAAAAATAGAGAAAAATTATCAGGGGGTGAACCCTGGGTCCCCATGACCCCTCTCTCTACATCCCACAGTCTGACCTGTAACAGCCCATCCTAGGGCACAATGCTACTGTGGGTAAGAAAGTGTATGAATAGAAGGGCAAGTAGATACACTTGCCTACTGTGGGTAAGAAAGTGAGAAGAAGGTTAACTTCTCACTTTCCCACAGTGGCCCCAATATGGCAAAAACTTCCAGGGATACCCAGAAGTCACATGAGGTAGGATCCTGTTGTAGTTTCTTATTTCTTCTTTCAATCTGCACTCTATAAGCGTCACATGACACCAGAGTTGTCCTTTACTGTTTCTACTATCTGTATAAACACTAAAGTCCAACTCAGGGTGTGCCACCAGCTGAGATACAATAGATCTGGGGCCAGATCATGCAGCGCGCAGAGTGTGTGGTGCAGGAAGTGCACATGCTAGAAGTATTGTATCTCAGCAGGATACCTCAGTCTGAGTTGCACTTTAGTGTTATTACAATAGTAAGAACAGTATATACAAGAGGAGACTTGCCTGAGTTGCACTTTAGTGTTATTACAATAGTAAGAACAGTAAAGAGCGACTTGGCAGTCACATGACACTATATGGAGCACAGATTGAATAGAAAATGAAGAGAACTAACTACAACACTTCCTGTGCCCCATATCCTTTCCACCTCACCCTGTACAGGAATTTCCCTTTCCGCTTCCTGCGCCCCACCACCTCTTCTACCTCAAACTCTTCCGAGGCTTTTATATCATCCCTGGGGTTGGACAGCAACGGTCTTGAGATGTCACCGGGTAAACGATAAGGCCTTAGGTGCGCTACATTCACCATGTTATGCATAGGGTAGGAGTCGGGAAGTTTCAATCGGTAGGCATTCTCGTTTATCACCTCCGTTACCTCAAATGGTCCAATGCATCTCTGCATTAGCTTCCTCCTGGTTGTCATATCCATCCCTGGCCATCGACTTCCGATCCCTCCGATCCCTCCGGTCTACTTCCGCTCCTTCCTCACTAACCTCGGAGCTCCCATATTCCGCAATCCCCTCGGTACCCCTTGATGGTCACCACCCCCTCCTTTCAATTTATTACCTACACCTCCCTAAGTACGGAGCCCCGAAGGCTTCCAGACAGCTCTGACGTCCGCTAGCGCACTCCCACCTCCGCTGGGCAATACACTTGCTTGCCCTGCAAGCCCACCTTCGGGCCTATCCCTCCTTTCTGTTTCTGGGTTATCGCCTGCCTTTCCGCTAACCCCGTAACCTGACTCGTCGGTAATATTCAATCGGCTAATGTCTGAACCCCATTAGCTCCGCTCTGCTTGGCTCCACCATTTGCGGACCCGCCCTCCCTGTAACTATATATACTTAACTTGTACATAGGTTACACTCCAGTAATAAAATCGACTAGAGTTTACCCTCTTCAGTTCTGGTGGCCAGTTAGTAAGTTAGGGCACGGACGTGTTTACTTGGCACAGCGCTCCTGGCATAAGTCGCTGAGGCCGAAGCCCTCCATCACGGAGACACTCCTTTGTCTCGACCCGGTCTCTGACAGTATTTTATTACTCCCTGACTAGTACACATCTTGTATGGCACCAAAAGCCCCCCGCACTCGTTCGCAACTACGCACATTAGTTCCCAACTCTGCCTCACCGTCCCCAGAACCCTCACAGCCTGGTCCTAGTCGATTGGCGAGAAACCCAGTTGAGTTTTGAAGCTTTTCTAATCTTGAAACCCCTCTCCCATCGACTCCGATCATGCGCCCCATTAGGAATCGATCACCAGTTGCAGATTCCGACTTCGGAGACACCACAGAACAACCCATAGACCCCATCCACTTCTTTGGACTCGGTTCCGAGGTCCCCGACTTCGTCGACCCTCCTCCTGCTGATCCTCCCATCCCCACTGTCCCAACCACCGACGATGCCGAACCCATCCCCAATGTGGCTATTGCACAATTAGCCCAAGCCATTGCCAGCCTGGCTCATCACACCGGTTGTCCACCACCTCCACCATCCTCTGCTCTCCGGACCAAGGTCCGTGAGCCCAAACAGTTCGATGGGAAAGATCCCCGAGAACTCCGAGTATTGCTGGTCCAATGCGAACTCAATTTCCAGGACCGTCCCCTTGCTTTTGCTAGCGACCACGCTAAGGTCATCTTTGCGCAGTCCTACCTCAAGGGAATGGCCCTCGATTGGTTCGAGCCGGATCTATTATTCAACCAAAATTCTACTCTTCATCCACGATGGATGAATAACTAAGAATGACGACGTGCACAAGTCATCACTATCCAGATACAAATTGTTTTGAAACAAACCAACACTCTCATTTTTTACACAACATGTTGTAGTGAATTCTATGCCCACCAACCTGTAGAGTACATAGTAGAGAAGACCATTGTGGTTGCCAAATTTAAATATTCAGACTCACGGGGAAATGAGAGGGTTTTTGGTTTTTCTCCTGGAATTGAGTCTGCTTTCAATCCTTGGCACTTAGGAAATAAAATTGGAAAATGAACAGTAAAATTTTGGTGTGCATGGATTTCTTAAATCAATTCATTTGGTAATTGCTGAATTACCGAAACAGAAAGCAACAAGCGTGGACACCCTTTCCCCCCTAATCCCCTGATACTGTGTGCTATGCCTTTAGGGAAAAAGCGGAAACAAGCTAACAATCTTGGGAGGTTCTCCCAGAAGGTGGGACTGTCATGAACGAAGTGTTTGTTAAGTCATAATTTACACTCTGCATTGTCCTTAGAAATTACACGGAAATACATCTAATCCTGCTACAGAATCAATCACCACACCTCCTTCCCCAGAGCATCCATATGTCTCAGAGAACCACACAATGCAAGGACAACCAGAGATTGATGTCAATTCTGATGTCTATGATAGTGCAAACAGCGACACTGACAGTGACTCGGACTTTGATGAAACAGTCAACCCCGCAATAGTCTCAAAGGATGTGTTCACTCAGCTCCTCTGCAACTCTGAGAAAAGGCTTTCTCACCTAATGAATGTCCGGGGAAACATTCCGGGTAACAAAGTTACATATCCAGGCTCAATGATAAATGGAGTCCGTTCTGAACGCAGCCAGTGCTGTGATGCAGCAAAGGAGAGAGCTATAAGTGGGAGGCTTCAGGAAATGAAGAAAAAGACAAGGATTGATGGGAAAAAACGCACAGTCCTTGATTTTTTCAGTCATCCTCCTCCAACTTCCTGCACACAGTCCACACCCCAAACTCAACCTAGTCCTTCAGCACTCTTGAGTGACTCTAGCGATGAGTACAGTGACCCAGCACTGTTAGGCACTTCCTATAGAGAGGGAGATTGTGCTGGGATTGATGTGTTTGTCACCGAGATCAATGAAATCCGCCATACCTCCCTCAACATCCAACAAGATTCCACCTGGAAACACCCTCACAGCGAAGTGTCTGACATTCCCCTGAACATTCCAAACAATTCAGACGCATCCATTCACAAAAATCAGGAAGAAAATGTGGAAGTACCCACCAATCCCAATCCCGCTTCCACTGCATTCCTCCCATCACCCAGGAAGCTCTGCCTGCGACCAGCATCTTCAGCAACTGCCCAGAGTGAGCCTCTTGAAGTAGAAAAACACTCGCGGCCCTATGTCCCCCCACCCAAAAAAGAAGAGGCAGTCAAGGCTGCACAAGATCTCAATGTCATCTTGAAGCCACAACGAAACACAGGGAGAGGCTACAAAAAGGTTGAGATTAACCTAATGCTGCGGGTGCGAATCCAGCAGATGGCTCAGCTTCTCCACTTGTATGGTTCTGGAGTGGATGGAGGTGGAGATGCTGGCTGGATCAAGATATCGGTGACAGTCGCGAATGTGTGGAATCGTGGGAAATCCTATCCCGCACGCTTACGGAGATGGTGTAGGGAATTTCTGGACAATAAATCACTTCCAGATAATCCATATGGTCGCTGGGGTTCATCAATTCTGACAACAGATGAAGATTTGAAAGAAAAACTGGAAACTCACCTTCGCAGGCTTGGCCCCTACATCTCTGCTGCAGACATTGTAAATTTCCTCAATACCCCAGAGATGAAAGAGCATCAAGGATGCGAAAAACCAATCAGCCTGCACACAGCACAGAGATGGCTACACATAATGGGATACCAGTGGTGCAAGGAAAAATGAGGACAATACTCAGATGGGCATGAGTGCAAAGATGTTGTGTATTATTGGCAGACCATGTTCTTGCCCACAATGGCTGAATATGCGAAGTCAACAAGGGAGTGGGACATAAATGGAGAGGAGGAACTCACTGGATCACAGCCAGAGGAACACACTGTTCTTTGGTTTCATGATGAGTCAATTTTCTATGCTCATGATCGCCATCAGATTCGCTGGGTACACAACTCTGAGACCCCAAAGCCTTATCCTAAGGGTGAAGGTGCTTCTCTGATGATTGCCGATTTTGTCTCAGCAGACTATGGTTGGCTGAAGGGGGATGGCTGCGATGCACGGGTGATTCTTAAGCCAGGAAAGAACCACGATGGTTACTTTACAAATGATGACATTCTCGAACAGGCTTCACGCACAATGCAAATTCTGAAGCAGAAACACCCAAATGAGAAGCATGTTCTCATCTTTGACAATGCCCGGACTCATGCAAAACGAGCAGAGGATTCCCTATCAGCTGTCAAGATGCCCAAATTCCCAAAGGATTGGGGTGTCTCTGTCATTGCCCATGATGAGAATGGGCAGATTATCTATTCAGAAGATGGGAAACCATGCATGACCAAGAAGCGCATGGCTGATACAACATTCAATGGCCAGCCACAACACCTTTACGATCCTGACAACCATGAAACACACCCAGGACAGTTCAAGGGTATGGCCAAACTCCTCGAGGAACGTGGCTACAATAATGCATCCTCACTTCTGGCAGGGTGCAAAGGGTTCAAGTGCCGAGGAACTGACGTGCAGTGCTGCTGCCGGAACATTCTGTTCCACCAGCCCGACTTCATCAACATTGACTGCCTGCTTACATCTCATTGTAGGGCTAATGGATTTGAAGTTCTTTTCCTCCCGAAATTTCACTGTGAATTAAATTTCATTGAACAAGTCTGGGGCCTCTCAAAGCGAGTCTACAGAGAATATCCACCCTCATCAAAAATAGAGGATGTTGAAGCAAATGCAAAAGAAGCATTGGCGTCTGTGACCATCCAATCCATGAGAAGGCAAGTTTTTTTATTATTACACTCTTCACAATTCTTATTTCTTTTCAGGTTTGCAAACCGCTCACTAAGATACATGGATGGATACTGGTGGGGGTTGAATGGCTGTGAGGCATCTTGGGCAGTCCGAAAATATCACAGTCACCGCCAAATACCACCAGAGGCAACACGAGAAATAATCCAAGAATTCATGAAATCAAAGCAGAGTTCTTAATATTTTTCAGCTGAAAATGTAACTACATAAGTTACATAAATCTAGCAGTGCTTGTGGCCACTTTACGAGACAAATGAGGCACAGCTCCGATCCTTCCCAACTTTTGGCGGCACGTGAGCCGTACAGCCACACATGGTAATTTCCGGCATAGTGATGACTTGTGCACATCGTCATTCTTACCAAGAGTTTGTCAACGAACTTCAAACCAACTTCGGTCCTCCCGATCCTGTGGGCGACGCCGAAGTTCAACTAATGACCCTGGACATGAAGGATGGGCACCACATCAATAAATATGTCGTCAAGTTCAACCGACACGCCTCTCAACTTCATGGTTACGGAGAAGCCGCGCTTCGTCATTTTTTCTATAACGGATTGCCGGAACGTATCAAGGATGATATTGCCAGAGTAGGTAAACCTTCTACTCTTTTGGAACTTCACACCTTGTCACAAACTCTCGATGCACGCTATTGGGAGCGTAAATCTGAAGTTACACGTCACGTGAAACCTTCCTCCTCTAACGTTTTCAACAAGTCCAACGCCGCTTCTTGTCCAGACCCCATCCCTTCCTCCTCCTCTTTCAACTCCGCTTCTGGTAGCAAGCCTCCGAAGGACAACAAGAAGTCCGAGGCCAGCTCCACTAAACCAGACCTTTCGTCTAAACTCGGAGACAATGGCAAGCTCACGCTACAAGAGCATAAGCGTCGTCTCGACGAGAAACTTTGTATGTTCTGCGGTCAGTCTGGCCATATGGTCAAGGATTGCCCCAAGTCTTCTTCTCGCGCGTCTAAGGCCTGTTCGGCCCAGACCGAGGAGCAAGGATCTGCTTCCACAGAGGCAAAAAATTAGTCCGCACCCCCGTGGACTCCGCACGGACCGGGGGTTGCGATCCTTCCTTCTGTGCGCTCAAAGAAGTGCGTTTAAATGCGTCTTCTATCTCCAACTTATCCTCCCTCCATATTCCCGTTTCTTTTTCTCTTTCAAATGGTCTATTTTCCCCTCTCAATGTTGACCCTTCGGTTAATGTTCTACCCGTTGTAGATAGTGTTGCTGATGTACCACTCTCTCCTCTGCCCCCTCCGACTACTTCCGTAGATCGATCCACCTCTCTCCGTTTCTCTTCTTTCTCTTCTCCTGTCCCTTCTCCTCCATCCAATGATAGGACACGGAATCAACTTTTTCGCTCCTATGAGAATGTACCCACACTCATAGACTCTGGGTCTTCGGACTGCTTCATCGACGACACATTCGTAAAGAAGTTGGCCTTGAAGACATACCAGATTAAACCCCTACAACTACGCCTATTTGATGGTAGCACCAACTCAATCATAACCCATGCCGTTGATATTCCCCTCCACTTCGCTTCCGGAAACATCACCCCCACAACTTTCTTTGTCACATTGCTGGATGGATCTTGTTCCTTAGTCCTAGGACACAACTGGCTTACCCGCTACAATCCATTGATTGACTGGGTCTCAAGCAGTATTACGTTCCGAACTTCTGAACCTACCAAGACAGTTACTCCGAGCTCTCCCCCGTCGTCTCCAGTACTATTGCCGTCGTCCGACATCCAACCATCTGATGTTTCGCCAGCACCTCAGTCACAGGCTCCCACTCCTCTGTTACCATCTATCAAGTTCGTCAGCCGTTCCGCATTCGCAAAGGCTTGTCGACTTGAAGGATTGGTATCCTTCAGCCTAACCATCCCTTCTGAGGAAAGCCACTTGAGGGCTGCCTCATCCCACACCGATTCCGTCGACCTCTTGGCCGTTCCGAAGGAGTATCACGAGTTCGCAGATGTGTTCAGTAAGAGCAAAGCCTTGATGCTGGCACCGCACCGTGAGTACGACCTGAAGATCGACCTTGAGGAAGGCACTTCACCACCCTTGGGTACTATGTACTCTCTCTCTACTTCGGAACTCGAGGCCCTCCAGGCGTTCTTAGATGAACACCTGGCCTCTGGGTTCATTTGTCCCACCACTTCCGCTCACATGGCACCGGTCCTCTTCGTCCACAAGAAGGATGGATCCCTCCATCTTTGCGTTGACTTCCAAGGGCTGAACAAGATCACCAAAAAGGATCGCTACCCACTTCCCCGCATCTCCGACCTCCTTGACGCACCTAGCCATGCCATGGTCTACACCAGACTCGACCTCTGGCATGCTTACCACCTGGTTCGCATTGCAGCAGGTGACAAATGGAAGACCTCCTTCCACATGTGCTATGGTTCCTATGAGTGGCTTGTCATGCCATTTGGTCTCACAAATGCACCCACAGCCTTCCAGCGATTCGTCAACACAATCTTTGCCGACCTCTTGGACGTTTCTGTGGTAGTCTACCTAGACAACATCCTTACCTACTCGGAAGACATGGCTTCACATCAGGAGCATGTCCGAGAAGTTCTTAGGAGACTCCACAAACATGGCCTATACGCCAATCCGAAGAAATGCGAGTTTCATACGGACACTACAGAATATCTTGGATACTGCCTCTCTCCCTCTGGACTCACCATGTCCATCGAGAAGGTCAAAGCCGTCCAAGATTGGCCCGAGCCCCATAAAGTCAAGGATGTCCAATCCTTCCTTGGCTTCGCTAACTTCTATTGGTGTTTCATCCACCAATACTCCGACATTGTGGTCCCCTTGACGCGCCTCACATGTAAAGGAGCCCCCTGGTTATTCTCTGATGATTGTCGCTCTGCTTTCAACACCTTGAAAGAAGCCTTCACTTCTGCTCCTATCCTCACACATTGGCTACCCGACGCCCCCCTCATTGTAGAAACTGACGCTTCCGACTATGCAATCTCTGGAATCCTGTCCATCCGCTGTGATGACAGAGAGATTTGCCCCGTCGCTTTCCGCTCTAGAACACTCTCGGCGCCGGAGCTCAATTATGACACCCATGATAAGGAACTGCTCGCCATTCATGATGCATTCCAATCGTGGCATCATTACCTTGAAGGTTCAGGAACCCCAATCGACGTCGTCACTGACCACAAGAACCTCGAGTATTTCTCCACCACCAAACTCTTGACCTGGCGGCAAGCCCGCTGGTCGGAGTTCCTCTCCCAGTTCCACATCACTGTCCGATTCTGTCCCGGAAGACTCGGAGTAAAACCGGATGCGTTGACTAGACGCTGGGATGTCTATCCCAAAGAAGGGGATATGGACTACACTCATGTCAATCCGCAGAACTTCCGACCGGTCTTCACTGGAGCAGCTCACTGCGTCCTTACGAGCTACGTTCCTAGCTGCCACAGTAATCCGAGCAGCCGTACTCATCAACACAGAGGCTCTCCATCGAGACATTCTAGCCTCCCTCTCCTCTGACACCACAATCTCTTCTCATCTTGCTTCCCCCAACCTCCCCAATTCCCGCTGGTCTGTTGATGCCGAAGGCCTGTTAAGGCTGGACAACCGCATTTACGTTCCGGATTCTAACGATCTCTGTCTCCGCGTTTTGCGAGACAAACACGACCACCAACTTTCCGGACACTTCGGTCAAAACCGGACTCTGGATCTAGTGCGTCGTGAGTATACCTGGCTGGGCATCTGTAACTTTGTCAAGAGTTATGTATCCTCCTGCACTTCTTGTGCCCGTGCCAAAGTTCCCCGTCATAAGCCTTACAGCTTGCTCAAACAACTCCCCATCCCCGAACGTCCTTGGAACTCCATCTCCATGGATTTCATCAAACAGCTACCCTCCTCTTCCGGATTCACTTCCATCTTGGTTGTCGTGGACTGCCT